CCCAAATCCCCAGGCCCCACCTCCAAACCCCAGGGTCCACCCCCAAACTCCATCCCAAAATCTCAGGTTCTCTTAGGTTAGCGTCCGCGCACTTAACCACTACACCAAACTGGCTCTCAATAAACAATTTTATTGCCTCTGCCTCGCCACCCTGGCCTTCCTTGGGGGGGGGGTCACCCTCCCACTCTCATCCTCACCTCACCTCACCTCAGAGGGTTTCTGCTGTGAAGAAGAAGAGAAGAAGAGGAGATTGGATTTATACCCCGCCCTTCACTACCCAAAGGTGTCTCAGAGGGGCTTACAAACTCCTTTCCCTTCCCCTCCTCACAACAGACACCCTGTGAGGTAAAAGAAGAAGAAGAGATTGGATTTATACCCCACCCTTCACTACCCAAAGGAGTCTCAGAGCGACTTACAAACTCCTTTCCCTTCCCCTCCCCACAACAGACACCCTGCGAGGTCGGCGGGGCTGAGAGAGCTCTGACAGAAACTGCTCTTTTTTCAAGGACAGCTCTTATCAGTACTACAGCTTGCCCAAGGTAATCCAGCCAGGCGCAAGTGGAGGAGGAGTGGGGAATCGAAACCGGTTCTCCCAGATTAGAGTCCCAGCATTTAGGAAGAAGAAGAAGAGATGGGATTTATACCACGCCCTTCACTACCAAAAGGAGTCTCAGAGCGGCTGACAAACTCCTTTCCCTTCCCCTCCCTGTGAGGCAGGTGGGGCTGAGAGAGCTCTAGACAGAAACTGCTCTTTTCCAAGGACAGCTCTTATCAGAACTAGGGCTTGCCCAAGGTCATCCAGCCAGGTGCAGGGGGCCTGGCTATCCCTAATTTACAAATATATTATGACTCCATTATTTTAGTTAATTTAATTAAACACTATAGACCCTCATACATGGCAGATTGGAAAATAATAGAAGAATCAGCACTTCCTACCCAATCTTTCCATGAAATTTTATGGAATTATAAGACACAAGCAAAACATATCACTTCACCAAGCATTTTCATCAAAAATACTTTAAAATCTTGGAACAAATTCAATCCACTTCTAACACCTTTTATCTCCCCATTAACGAATTTTACAGGACAGACATGGTTCGAACCAGCTCAAGATCCGCTTTCTTATTTGTCATGGCGCCAATCACACCTCACAAGATTTATAGACGTCACCTCACAAGGCTATCTCAAACCTAAATTGTCACTAGAAAACTCACATTCTACGACTTTACCGTGGTTTGAATACCTTCAACTCAATGATCTAATTAATTCAAAAATGGGTAATAAATTACGTATAAAACTTACAGAATTTGAAAAGATATTGAGTAACCCCTCCTCTCCTATTAAAGGCCTCATTTCGAAAATTTATTCAATTTTAATCAACTTTAAAAATCCAGGACTATTAAAATATCAGAATGCATGGCATCATGACTTAGGACAAACATTGAGCAACGATGAATGGGGAAAAATTTGGAACTCCTCAGTATACTCTTCTTCATGTTTAAATATTAAATTGACAACCATAAAACCCCTGTCCAACTGTCACATGCTATTTCTTCTCTCCCTCCTACCTGTTGGAAAGGGTGCGGGTTTAAAGGCGATTATCTACACATTTGGTGGACCTGCCCAATTATATCTAAATTTTGGACACAGATTATCAAGTTAGTTAACTCAATAATTAATAATAAAATCCCTCATTCTCCCAAAACTGTTCTTTTAAATATTTGGGATAATTCCCAAACTAAAATTCCTTTACATGAACAAGAGCTGACCGCTATCTTATTTACAGCGGCCAAGACACTCTTAGCAGCAAAATGGAAATCTATTGAAGTTCCCTCTATCTCCGAATGGCTGTATAAATCCTGGGATTTTTTCATTTTTGACAAAATAACAGTGGAGGTGGACTATGCTAATGCACTACAACGCAGACAGATCTTCGAAAAAAAATGGACTCCATTTGTAGAATTCTTTTGGAAACATACTGATTTCACAAAAATTACTTTAACTGACAAGACAGCATAACACAATTTTATTGTTGGTTGATACACGTTTGTAATTAGTGTCTTTTCCTTCCTTTTCTCTTCCCTACCTCTTAGAGATTTATCTTTATAACGAAATAAATATAATCCGTTTTCCATTTAGAATTATACGATTGAATTTTGAAAGTTATGTAACCAAAGCCAGAACTGCCTTCTGATACAATTCGTTTCGTATGGTTGTTTACTTGTTTATATGTTAAAATTTTTCTGTAAATCTGTTTTTGATCAATTAAAAAAAAAAAATCCAGCCAGGTGCAAGTGGAGGGAGTGGGGAATCAAACCCCATTCTCCCAGATTAGAGATGTAAAATTTCCGGAAATTTTGAAGCTTGGAAAAAAACTCGTTTCCCCCCGTTTTTTTCGAGGGAAAACGGAAATTTTTGGAAAAATTGAAAAAAATGCTACATTAGCATTTATTTTGTCGTTTCTAGATTGAAAGTCATTCTGTTACTTTAGGAACATAAAATATGACTATGGACATTTTTACTTGCCATGAAATGATCAAAACTAGCAAACTAAAATATAGTGTATCCAAACAATTATTACAAACAGAATACCCATCCACATGCAAAAACAAAACGGAAACCCTTTTATTTTCTTCTGACAATAGCAAACAAAACGGAAACCTTTTTATTTTCTTCTGACAATAGCACCTTCTAAAGGAAGAAATGCATCTTGTTCTTGCATTGGAGAGTTCAGTTTGTAATCTAAGACTTGCTTGTCCTCAGAGCACAGAAATTAGACCAATCTGATACCATATATATTTTTTAGAAATGATTTGGAAAATATTTGAACACCTCGTCTTAAAATATTTTATTCATCATGTTAAAATAAAACGTTACATAATCAATTTTTTTTTCTTTTTTCAATTTTTCGGAAAAAAATTAAAAAGCTTCAGGAAAAACCCGCAAAAAACCCGGCTTCTTTCCGAATTTTCCCGGCTTTTTTCCGGGCCTTCACATCTCTATCCCAGATTAGAGTCTGCCTGCTAAACCACTACACCAAACTGGCATTCCAGAAGCACCTGAACTACCCCTTTAGAAATGCTAATAGATCTGGCAGAAGAGACAAAGGGATGAGCCGGCTCATCCCCAAGTCTTTCCTCACAGAGTGGAAGGGCGTGGGGGGAAGAAGAAGAAGAAGAAGAAGAAGAAATTGGATTTATACCCCGCCCTTCAATACCCAAGGGAGTCTCAGAGCGGCTTTCAAACTCCTTTCCCTTCCCCCCCCCACCCCCGACACCCCGTGAGG